CTTTGCAGAACGTGTTACAAGTATGTATATAAATATTTATCTATATATTTATCTATATTTATATTTATATCAAATTGCGGGCGTCTTGATAGTTATCATTAACCCCTTAGTTGACTTCGGGCTTCACAGAGAGGATAGAACATTAAAGTGAAAAAAGTCTAGAGGGGGGGGACAGAAGAGTGTTTCAAAGGCGAAGGTAGAAAAGATAGAAAAAAGGTGAGGTGAGTACTGTGAAAGTAGTCGAATATGACATACAGTGGGGTCAGAAGTCAACTGCCGATTAATAGACTCTTTGGCGTATGAGTATACGTTGTCCAGGGTGCATCACATGGAGGTAAGTCTATCGCACACCCCAGTATGTATGTATACATATGAAACTATTATAGATGTTAGACTGATTTTTTAGTAAGTTCCAGCATTTTCGATGCCCATTCAAATCAGCGTCTATCAAGCACTTTTTTCCTAATTTATTCAAAGAGACTATTTAATTGTAATAATTTTATTTGCGTAGAGGGCGCTTTTACGTAGTATTATTACATCTGGCGTCTGGTAGACTTTAAATTACTAATGGAGGCTAATGCAGAAATGGCAATTATTGTAATTATTGCGGCAATCATGTTTATCGATTTGGAGGTCTCCTCCTAACCTCCAGAATATATCATAATGCTCCAACGAAGTTTCCTTTATTGACTTAACTGCAATTAGTTTACGTATTTTAAGTTGAAACCATAGTTGATTGGGAAGGGGTGTGCGATAGACTTACCTCACTTTGATATTTCTTCTCTGTGAGGACTGAAGTCAACTAAAGGGCTAATGATAACCTTCAAGACGCCTGCCATTTGATATAAATAAATAAATAGTTTATTGAGAACTAAGCGTCAAGACCTTCTTAGGGGGGGGGGGAAATAGTCGCATTATGAATGCTGTCGATAAAAGATTTGTCCTAAATTTTGTCGCCATCAAAAAAATGTCCATTTGGTGTGGTTAATGGCAGGCGGTGATTTGCCATTCGTAAATTATTTTCATCACACTCAACTGCGCTAGGGCCATATCGGTTATTCATAACTTATTTTGCAATGTCGCCTGCTTAAGGTAAGGAAAGTATCTGAACACATGGCATTTCCTGTCTGTTATTTTGATGCGAAAGATGTCATTCTTGTCTTTCACTGCTGACAATTCTACTCCTCTTGTTCTAGAGATTTTGTGTTGGAGATATATACTTAGAATTTAAATTAAGCACACACGGATTGATAATCTAGTCGGTTTTTTTAATACATTTGAAAAAAACCCAAGGTGCTTTAATTTTTTGATAATATAGCAGAGGTTGTATCATTGTTGCTAGTCTTCCAAGATATGCTAACTTTTTTACGAAAACGTCAAGTTTAATTAATTCTTCTTGGCACAATGCGAATCTAATTTCACAAAAGGAGTCAATGTTTTCTTTGGTTGATTTAAAATGGAATATGCATGACGTGGAAAGGACTCATTTTTAAACACTCGTCTTTAGTAAATAAATAGCGTAGTTTAAGCATTCTGACAAGAAACTCGTATTCTGCAATTCCATTTATTAAACTCCTTCATCTATGTTGTCGGGTGCTCATTGATATACATCAAATCTTTGAATTTTGTTTTATCAAGCATGGCCATTGGACCACCCATAATTTTCCACTTGTATGATTCATGATTAATCTCCTTCAATCTTCCCCTTATAGATCTCTTCCTCGGAGTTAACACACAGAACTTTGAAATGAATAGTGCTAGCCCCAAAATGCGTTCAGTCAGCTGTTCAGAGCTTCAAGCGAATGGTGTCCCTTACAGTCATAATAACGGAGGAGGTTCAGGCTTCACTAATGGAGAGGATCATCAAAATGGCCTCCACCATATTGCTCGTTCTTTCAACGGTAGTCTGCCTCCCAGTGGGAATCAGCAACATCATCCCATCTACCAACCAAATCTTAATGGGCAATCGCAGAGAAAATTGTCTCATTCCCTGAAATCTGCCAGTAATGGCAAACTCAGTAACATTGTGATGCTCCTGAAATCTCCCAAGGTGTGTGATCAGTCATGAATTTGTGTTTTACACCTTAATTCTATTCTGCCATTCTGATTTTCTAAGTTAAATCCCAATTTGTAATTTGATAAGAGCACAAAACCATATATTCAATTATTCTCCTACTTTTCTCCCCAAATAATAATAAATGTGACTTGTCCTTGTGCAAATTTAATTATGTCTATTCTCAACAAGATTATATCATTTATCGGACTTTCACAATTGACTTATCAGAACTTATCTAAATATTGTAATCTTATAATGCGTTTTTTGTTTCGAGCTTAGACACTCACCAGTCTTTTGATTGGAGGATGCTAATTGAGGGCGCTAGACATATTTCAATAGTGTTTTTCTTCAGGAGTTGGCGGTATGGTTGAGTGGATATCAGACTGATTCTATTAGTTGAAAAGCCTTGTGCCTGTACTCAAGCTTTAAATCTGAGTTCATGGAAGTTAGATGCTTTATAGCACTGAGCCAACACATAAATAGTGTTATACTATTAAACACTATTTTTGGCTTTATATGGAAAATGTGATAAGCAAATTATATAATCGAGTGTTCAACTTCATTCAATGGAATACCTACTCAATTCAATTGTTCCTCGATAGATTTTAAACTGGTCTTCAAGCAAAATCACCCTCTTAAGTAATCTGAGATTCTGTAGGTAGTTGAGGAACTAATGAATGTCAGAGCTCTTCGCAGAGAAAAGCCACGTACTCGACCTTTTCCCGCCTCTCTTCAACAAAAATAAGCATATTAGCACCCAACTTTGAATTTGAAATCCATGTTGAATTGATTGGTATTCAAAAATCTTTATGAATCAGTATTCTTTAATTTTCTTGTGTTGATATGCCTGAAATATAGCTAGATTAGAACGCCTTCACATTTGTACAAGTCCAGCTATACAAAATACACTTTTTAAAGGCTTTATTCACTCAAGATCACAGGTACTTCGATCCCAACATCGGGGATTTTTCAAAAATTGCAAATCGTTGCGAAAGAAAACTGACAGCATTATTGAAAAGTAGATAACTCTATCGCATTGGAACGACAATTAATTTTTTTCATATTTTTCACCCCAAGGTTTCACTTCGCCGCTCGTCTTCGCGTTCAAATAAGTATCAGCAATCCAATACAACGCTTATTGAAGATGGTACGTCAGTTTGGAATTTTGTTTTAGTGTCTACGACAGTCTAAATAGCTCCTTTACAATAAAAAGCAAATAAAGACTAAGGTGATTACGAGGTTCGTGTAATGGGTCTCATATTTTTTGTGAAGGGCGTTTTAATGAGATAAAGGCGCATTTTTTCGGTATTTACCTATCAGCTGGTTGTCCAAGTAACCAGCTGATTGATTTCAGTTAACGGGTGAATTTCACACTTGTGCTTATACTAAAACTCATCTATCAATGAGTTGATTTATTTGAGCATATTTTTATCAGACGATGTTATTAAGTTACAATTTGGCCTCTTGAGGCAAAAGGTCTCTGACTTCGAATCAAGAGTTTCTATTTTGTTTGAGTTTCTTTTTTGTGTCTTAATAAATTAATTGCTTGGAGTATTTGAGTAGGTTTATTTCGATTCTGAAGCTATGACTTAGAAATGCCTGGGTTAGTAAACGCACTAGTCGATAGGCATTCCTCTATGAATTTGAAGTTCGCAGAACCGACTCTAATTCCTCACTCCGTACACCTGGATTTGATCAAATTTAAACGATTTGGTAATGTTGCTTCTATCTTTCAAGTACCATGACAAAAATTAATTGAAATAAAGCTTACGATTGGCGTAAATCAATTTAAATTTGATCAATTCAATCATATCATCGTAAAGTAATTTCTTAGTTCAGCGACCCATTAGAATTTATTATTTTTTTGAGTAAAGAATTGTAAAAATAGATCGAGTTAGATCCAGATGGCTGGTACCATTCCTGACTAATTTAGCCTCAAGATAGTAATCTTAGTATGCGTTTTATTCCCAATTTCCCGATCCCTTCAAAGTTAAAGGTGCTGAAGTGGCTGCAGAGGAAGTTCTGATCCAATTGGCAAAATTTTAGGGGAAAATTTTTGAAGCGATTTCCTGGCCATTTCATGCAAACCTACCTCCCCTTAAAGCCACTCTCCATTGCCATAAATAAACTTGTGCACAAACCAGATGTCGTTGTAGTAAACAACAGAGAATTTATATCCATCTTCATTGTTTTCTGACTTTGTCTCCCGATTCCTATAAAAAGCGTACCTCAGAAATTCACCAAAACCAAATCCGATTTTTTTTTTGCATAAACACGGCAGATTGGCTCGCATATTAGATAAGCACGATGCATATAACGGAATGTCTTTCCAAAAAAATTCAATAAACCAGACCCAACGCAAATTTTAGCAATTTGTCATTGTTTAGAGTGGTCACGAAGTAACTGATTACAATACGATATAAAGAGACCATGAGGTGATCCAATTCTCCATTCTTTGGGAGCCCTTGGAGTCAAAAGACACAGAATTTTATAGTGATGTTTTACCAAATATGTGCTCGGGTCCTCGATGGTAAGTTTCTCCGGATTTTAACGTTTTTTGGCGGGTGGATGGGGGAGGGTGTTAATTTTCTATCACCCTCTTTATGTCTCTGGCATATAACGATTTCAGACGACATTAGCTGTTTTGTTAAATTAATTTCGTCTTTAATTTTATAGAGTTCTCATCAACAGAACACCTGAGCCACTTTTCAAATGGTCGAACTCCATCACTGCTTCTGTAAGTCATCAAACCGGTACTTAAAACGTCTTATCTAGATGTTAATCACTGCAATCGTTCTCGCATTTCTAGCAGTTTTAGATATTTCGTTACTCAGATTCACTGATGCCTAACTTGAACTTTACAAGTTTCCGGGAGAGAAAGAGAGAGGGAAGATTTAGGCATTTTGAATTTAGCCACATGTATAGCAACTTCTTGCCCTATTCGAATACTTTCTTTTGAAAACCTTTCTAGTGAGAGATTAATTCCAGTCTTAATGGGTGGCATTTCGAAATGCTCTGTTACTTTTCAAGACTTGTGGATTACCTAGTGTTAGTAGAGTTCGTTAATTTCAAAGTTTACGGATTTACTTCCCCGAAGACAACTTTTCCATTCTGGTACCACGATCATTTTTTTATTGTCCAGTGTAGAGGGCGATTCTGAACACCTCTCACCCTGATGATTCACCCATTCCAATTCCCTCTCTTCATGATACATGCACACCGTGCTTCAATGTCACCCACATCACAGCGTCCGTGACTCATTCTTATCTTTTCAGACGACAGGAGGAAGGTTTTGGTTCCTACGCTTGCTGTTTTCGTAGAGTCATGTTTAGTGCACACAGCCGGAAGGAGATTAATGTATTTCTGTCTTCGAGTCATTTTATTAGAACCAGCTCACTGGAGAGTTCAAGATGTTTGGTCTGAAGACTTATCCTTTTTTGGACCTTCCACTCTGAATCGCTCCAATCCATTTCCTGAGAAATGAGCAAAATAACTCTTATTTGGTTTGGGAGCATTCAGACATGACTTAAATTGGAGTTTTTTTAAGATGAGTCTTTAACGCATCGACAATTAACCCAAAAGACTTAATTGAAAACAGTCTTATTAAGATCATATCGCGTTTCATTATGCCGATGACAACTATTTCAATAGACTAATGAGGTACATTTGATCATCATGGGATTCGGCACTGAGGAGCCCTATACATGGAAATCCTATTCCACTAGAAAATTTTCTTATTTTACCATGTGCAGGAGAGAGAGAGGCTTGTTATATCTAAAAAATCTTTATTTACGCATAAATCGTATCCCCAATACGATTTTGACAGCAAGATTCATACTTATTAAATTCTAATAAATTAAATAGTAGTGATTGAATAAGTACTTTAATGATCATTTTGGCGTTCGCGTTTTCCTTCTACCCATTTCATTCGAATAGAAGCACCTCTGAAAGACACATTTGTGGAAGCATTCAAACTGTGATCTGGACTATCCCATCCTCTAGTAATTTAGAGAAATGCTAGGTACTCATTTAGTAGCTTATTGAGTTGACCATAAAGTAACATTAAATTCAAGAGGATTTAAAAAAGTGAAATCTAATACCCAATTACTATGGGGCACTTTTTTCCACAACACAACCTACTCATTGAGAATGCAGTCACCTGCAAGTATTGAGTATCAGAAGGCTATTGCTATGAGATCATATAAAGCAAATCCAATTAGCTCACACCCCTAAATAATCGAATATTTGGGAAGCAGTGGTTCATTTCCACCTTCTATTTTTCCACATGAGCCAATTACGAACTATCATTAAATCATGCCACAGATTCAATCTTAAAAGCTGCTTAAATCAGTGTGCACACCGTGACCCCTTTATCTTATCACTACATTGCCAATATGTGTGGCTGAATTTTGGTCGCATTTTTTTCTCAGAATTAGCAGACACTGCACCTGATGATGCACGCTAAGGCAGGCCACGGTCACGCCATCACGTTGTTTCGCATTTTCACCCCTAGAACACGAACGTGAAGCTGTGGCCTCTGTGGAGAGGCTACTGAATTATTTTTTAGCCTATTTATTACGAAACCACACTTTATGTTCTCCTATGGAGATGGAGCCTTAGGCTTCATGCGCTACTACCACTTTGAGTCTAACCTCAATAGTTCTGTTTAAGTGGACATGCATGAAGTCACTGACTAACAACTTCAATTATTTTTATTTTTTAGCTAATTTGCTATAAGTTATTTATAACAAATGACAGGCGTTTTGATAGTTATCATCAGCCCTTTAGTTGACCTCGGGCTTCACAGAGTGGAGGAGGAACATCAAAGTGAAAGAATTCGGGAGAGGGAACAGAAGAGTGATTCACAGATGTTAAAGGCTCAGAAAGGGTAAGATGAGTACTGTGTTAGGGCAGTGATTTGAAGTGAGAAGTCAACTGCCGAATAATAGACTTTTTTCCCGTATGATTATGCGTTGCCCAGGGTGCACCACGAGGAGGTAAGTCTATCCCACAACCCAATTTGCTTTAAGTTATATTTAGTCATTGAAGCCAGGCATTAGTACCCCTATTAGTGGAGTATGTTTGGTATTTTGAAATATTTGGAAATTTTCTAACCTGGGAATTGGAATTGATTAAAAGAGGGATAGAGATAGGAGTATGGTAGGGTAGG